TAACCCTAGGTGTAAAATAGTAAATAATGGCTATTTCTCTCAAAGTTTTAAACTGTCAAGAGGAGTGAAACAAGGTTGTCCACTATCGGCATATCTATTTATTATGGCCATCGAAATGTTAGCTATTAAAATCAGATCCAACAATAATATCAAGGGATTAGAAATCCAGGGCTTAAAAACAAAGATGTCATTGTACGCTGATGATTCATGTTTTCTTTTAAATCCACAACTTGAATCCCTCCACAGCCTCATAGAGGATCTAGATACATTTTCTAACCTCTCTGGATTACAACCAAATTATGATAAATGTACTATATTACGTATTGGATCACTACAAAATACAATTTTTACTTTACCATGTAGTTTACCAATAAAATGGTCTGATGGTGATGTGGATATAATCGGAATACATATCCCAAATGAAATAAATGATCTCACTCCAATACATTTTAATAGAAAGTTAGCAAAAATAGATAAGATCTTGCTACCATGGAAAGGTAAATACCTGTCAATTTGTGGATAAATCACCCTGATTAACTATTTAGTATTATCCCAGTTTACCTATTTGCTTATGGTCTTGCCTACGCCTAGCGAAGTTTTAAAATTATATGAGAAAACAATATTCCATTTTATTTGGAACGGCAAGCCAGACAAAATTAAACGGGTCTATTTATATAATGAATATGAATTCGGAGGACAGAAATGATTAAATATTAAAGCATTAGACCTATCACTAAAAGCTTCAGTCATACAAAAGTTATACTTAAATCCAAACTGGTTCTCTAGCAAATTAGGAAGATTGTCTCACCCAATGTTCAAAATGGCCTTTTTTCCCTTTGTTCAGATTACAACCTCTCACTTTCAGTTATTTGAAAAGGAAATAATCTCCCAAATATCACTATTTCTAAAACAAGCCATAGAAAGTTGGTTGCAATTTCAATTTAATCCTCCAGAAATGACAGAACAAATAATGCAACAAATATTGTGGTTAAACTCAAATATACTAACTGATAAAAAAACATTATTTTTTGAAGAAATGTTTAAAAACGGTATAATCTTCGTAAATGATATCATAGGTAGGACTGGTGGAGTTATGCAGCTAACAAAAACATATGGAAATGTCTGCTCTACCCAAAATTACAACCAAATAATTGCAGGATTACCACAAAAATGGAAGAGGAAAGTGGAAGGGGGAAAAAGTAAGGAACTTGTCTGTCTGCCCTGCAGTAAAGAACATAATTGGTTAAAGAAAATTGTGATAAATAAAAAAGTATACCAGTTTCATTTAAGGACCAAAGGATTGACAGCCGTCCCATATAGATTGCAAAATTGTTGGGAAGAGATTTTTGACGTACTGATTCCATGGCATAGTGTTTATGAACTGATACGCAAAAACGACGCCGGATTCAAAACTTAGAATTTTTCAATTTAGATTATTATACAAAATTATTGCTACCAATAGAATGTTATTTATATGGGGGATACAATCTTCCCAGCTCTGCAGATTTTGCTGCGAAGAGGCAGAATCATTAGATTTTTGTTTTGGTACTGTCCATTTGTAGCTTGTTTTTGGACACAGGTCCAGGAATGGCTAAAGGATTGCAATATTTACCTGGAGCTAACCCTGCAGATAGCACTACTGGGTGATCTGAAAAGTCATAGTCAATCGATCAATAATATAATAATACTTTTAGCAAAACATTTTCTTTTCAATTTACAATCTGTATAAACAATGAGAATAGAAGGGTTCAGAACTTTTGTAAAACATCACAGTACAGTTGAAAAATATATGGCAAATAGAAATCCAATATGGATGGTGTTAAGACATAGATGGGAGGTGTTGAATGGAGTTGAAGGATGGGACTAATAGCAACGAACAACAACTAATAACAACAAGATAACTAATGTAAAGCATACTGTGTCCATAATAAGTATATACAGTGAGGGAAAAAAGTATTTGATCCCCTGCTGATTTTGTACGTTTGCCCACTGACAAAGACATGATCAGTCTATAATTTTAATGGTAGGTTTATTTGAACAGTGAGAGACAGAATAACAACAAGAAAATGCAGAAAAATGCATGTCAAAAATGTTATAAATTGATTTGCATTTTAATGAGGGAAATAAGTATTTGACCCCTCTGCAAAACATGACTTAGTACTTGGTGGCAAAACCCTTGTTGGCAATTACAGAGGTCAGAAGTTTCTTGTAGTTGGCCACCAGGTTTGGACACATCTCAGGAGGGATTTTGTCCCACTCCTCTTTGCAGATCTTCTCCAAGGTTTCGAGGCTGACGTTTGGCAACTAGAACCTTCAGCTCCCTCCACAGATTTTCTATGGGATTAAGGTCTGGAGACTGGCTAGGCCACTCCAGGACCTTAATGTGCTTCTTCTTGAGCCACTCCTTTGTTGCCTTGGCCGTGTGTTTTGGGTCATTGTCATGCTGGAATACCCATCCACAACCCATTTTCAATGCCCTGGCTGAGGGAAGGAGGTTCTCACCCGAGATTTGACGGTACATGGCCCCGTCCATCGTCCCTTTGATGCGGTGAAGTTGTCCTGTCCCCTTAGCAGAAAAACACCCCCAAAGCATAATGTTTCCACCTCCATGTTTGACGGTGGGGATGGTGTTCTTGGGGTCATACGCAGCATTCCTCCTCCTCCAAACACGGCGAGTTGAGTTGATGCCAAAGAGCTCGATTTTGGTCTCATCTGACCACAACACTTACACCCAGTTCTCCTGTGAATCATTCAGATGTTCATTGGCAAACTTCAGACAGGCCTGTATATGTGCTTTCTTGAGCAGGGGGACCTTGCGGGCGCTGCAGGATTTCAGTCTGTCACGGCGTAGTGTGTTACCAATTGTTTTCTTGGTGACTATGGTCCCAGCTGCCTTGAGATCATTGACAAGATCCTCCCGTGTAGTTCTGGGCTGATTCCTCACCATTCTCATGATCATTGCAACTCCACGAGGTGAGATCTTGCATGGAGCCCCAGGCCGAGGGAGATTGATAGGTCTTTTGTGTTTCTTCCATTTGCGAATAATCGCACCAATGGTTGTCACCTTCTCACCAAGCTGCTTGGTGATGGTCTTGTAGCCCATTCCAGCCTTGTGTATGTCTACAATCTTGTCCCTGACATCCTTGGAGAGCTCTTTGGTCTTGGCCATGGTGGGGAGTTTGGAATCTGATTGATTGATTGCTTCTGTGGACAGGTGTCTTTTATACAGGTAACAAGCTGAGATTAGGAGCACTCCCTTTAAGAGTGTGCTCCTAATCTCAGCTCGTTACCTGTATAAAAGACACCTGGGAGCCAGAAATCTTTCTGATTGAGAGGGGGTCAAATATTTATTTCCCTCATTCAAATGCAAATCAATTTATAACATGCGTTTTTTTTGGATTTTTTGTTGTTATTCTGTCTCTCACTGTTCAAATAACCTACCATTAAAATTATAGACTGATCATTTATTTGTCATTGGGCAAACGTACAAAATCAGCAGGGAGTCAAATACTTTTTTCCCTCACTGTAGGTTATAGGTTGAGAGCTTTTGTGAAAGAGCACAGTTAGAAAGATATGGCATATAGAAAGCACAGCCGGATGGACATCATGAAAATGATCGGAGAGGTTGAGGGTAGAGTAAGTTCTGGAGTAAAAACAAACAAAATAGAATTATTTTAAAATTGACTGTGTTCCTAAAATATATATTTTTTTGCAATAATAATACTTAAAAATTAGAGAGGCCTGTAATTTTCATCATAGGTACACGTCAACTATGACAGACAAATTTAGAAAAAAAATCCAGAAAATCACATTGTAGGATTTTTAATGAATTTATTTGCAAATTATGGTGGAAAATAAGCATTTGGTCACCTACAAACAAGCAAGATTTCTGGCTCTCACAGACCTGTAACTTCTTCTTTAAGATGAAACATGGCTGGGTCTTTCAGCATGACAATGATCCCAAACACACCGCCCGGGCAACGAAGGAGTGGATTCGTAAGAAGCATTGCAAAGTCCTGGAGTGGCCTAGCCAGTCTCCAGATCTCAACCCCATAGAAAATCTTTGGAGGGAGTTGAAAGTCTGTGTTGCCCAGCGACAGCCCCAAAACATCACTGCTCTAGAGGAGATCTGCATGGAGGAATGGGCCAAAATACCAGCAACAGCGTGTGAGAACCTTGTGAAGACTTACAGAAAACGTTTGACCTGTGTCATTGCCAACAAAGGGTATAATAATTTGCAAATAAATTCATTAAAAATCCTACAATGTGATTTTCTGGATTTTATTTTCTCATTTTGTCTGTCATAGTTGACGTGTACCTATGATGAAAATTACAGGCCTCTCTCATCTTTTTAAGTGGGAGAACTTGCACAATTGGTGGCTGACTAAATACTTTTTTCCCCACTGTACTTGCGCGGATGGATGCACGCACGCATGGACACACACACAGACCATCTGATCCTGCTGCTAGATATTCTGGTGAAGGATTGACTAATAAATAGAAGCTATATATAAATAGAGTGCGCGTCCTCCAACAAATGTTATTATTAATTGTCCCATATATTATTAATACCGCGGAGTAAAATGAGAGTGAATGTTTAATCGTATATATGTTTAATTAATGGTGCGTTGTATCTATGGCATAAAGCTATGAATTATTTACTATAATGAACATAAGAGCCTTTGAAAATACTGTGGTAATGTGGTACGCATTGAGAGGTGGATGTCTTGAATCAGATGGTTTGGAAGGATCTTTCAACCCTTGAGTGTGTGTATGTGTGTGTACTTTAAGCAAGTGTGTGTGGTTTGAGTTGTGCCGTCATCTCTTGTTTCTTAAGTAATGACGCTTCATATCTCAGTGCCTCTCATTTGCTAAAAAGCGAGAAATGAGAAGTACTCTTAAAACCTCTCTGATCAGTGTCCACCCTCCTCTTTCAGCCATAGCTCATCCATTTATTCTCCTCTCCTCCCTCCTAACTCCCTCTCTTTCTGTCTCCTCAGGAACACTTCACCCCGGAGTGCAAGTTCAAGGAGTCAGTGTTTGAGAACTACTACGTGACCTACTCCTCCATGATCTACAGACAGCAGCAGTCTGGTAGGGGCTGGTACCTCGGTCTGAATAAAGAGGGGGAGATAATGAAGGGAAACCACGTGAAGAAGAACAAGCCAGCAGCCCACTTCCTCCCCAAGCCTTTGAAAGGTGAGTCTGTCCATCTTTCTTCCTATATGGTGCTTGGCTCTATATTGGAGACAATAGAGGATAATAAGGGAAATGTTTCTTAGGAAACTTTACTTTTTCTAAAGTTTCTTCATTATTCTCCCAAGCCCATTACATTGCAATTGAAAGTTTATTGGTGATTCACTATGGCCTGGAGCACTGAGCTTTGGCAGCGGTTATTTGTATAAATGGGGGACTTTACAGAAAAAACCCCAAGCTTCTCTTTGATTAACTTTTTCTCTCTCTCTGCGGGTAGTCTCTCACTACAGCCTGGGATAGGCTGCTCTTAGCCCCCCTGCCATCGGGCTTTCTGCTCTGAGGCAGTGGTGTGTGGACAGGGCTATTGAGAACTTCCCAAAAGCTATTCATACTTCATTGGAGCCAGACAGTGGAAAAGGCAGGGGCAGTGTCCATGCTGAAAAGCTGCGGGAATGCTAAAGTTCTGCCTGTTTGAATAGAGACAGCTAGGCTTTTTAACACTAATGTCATGGCTCCCCACCTCCACCCAACCAGGCCAGGTGCCTCATGGGAGGAAGGGGAAGGAGGGGGGATGATTGTGTGCTGGATAGATGGATCTGTTCATGATGTTGAAAAGGCCACAGCTCTTTCATCTAGAACAAGATACAGGCTTACCTGTCAACAGAGAGAACAAGAAAAAACTGAGAGCGTCTGTACTCCACTTCCACGAGATGAAAGGATGAGCTTTTAGACAAAAAATCCCCATTAAAGAAAGGAACTGCTAGTGACGCAAATTACTCAACCGATGAGAGCACCAAGCGGGTAGCAATTTATTTAGAAAAATCTGATCAAACGTTCAGTCGTTTCGTCATTTGGATCCGTCAAGTTGCAAGCTTCTTTTGTGGTTACATGATTTACAGAGGTGAGCACAGAATAAAGAGTGTGTGCCACAAATACACTGTTACCCTGTTTGTGTACAGTCCGAAAATCATGGTTAAAAGATGCCATGAAGTTGTAATCCCTAAATGAGGGCAGGAGGGCATTGGAGAGTGACGCACTGGGCTTTGAATCCCTTTCAACACCTTTTTCACAAGGGCAGAAAGGTACAGCAAACAGACAGCTGTGATGATGATGCTTTCTCTTACTGGGTTGCGGTTGGCTTGGCTGCTCTGCTCTTATCCTCCGACCGACCGACCAGTAGCTCATTAAAAATCTAAGTCACTGCTCACTGTAATTGCTTTTGGGTTACATTTAAACAGCACGACCAGGGGGCCCAAACACACTTAAGAGCAATAGCCAGAGAATGATCGCCCCGCACTCAGGACTGAGAGAGAGAGAGAGAGAGAGAGAGAGAGAGAGAGAGAGAGAGAGAGATAGAGAGAGAGAGGAGAGAGAGAGAGAGAGAGAGAGAGAGAGAGAGAGAGAGAAGAGACGATAGAGAGAGAGAGAGAGAGAGAGAGGCTGCTTAAGCTGCTAGGTCGAAGAGGGAGAGATACAGTAGAGAAAGAAATGGAGGGATGATTGGTAGAGGAGAAGCGTAAATGAACTAAGGATGAACGGCCCCAGCGGTGAGATGGACTGACCTCCAGGTCATCCTCCAGCATTATAGTTGCATAATGCCATGGCTAATAAGCCCAGTATCGATCCCACACAGCTTCCCACTGAAGTCCACTATTGATTGACTCGTGTGCGCAGGGATTCTTTGTGTGAAGCGTGCTGCTGTCACCAGAAAGCCAAGGCTAAGGGAATGAAGTATCTTTGGAGAGTTTGGTTTGCTGCTTGGGCCAAAGCCCCAGAGAACCACACATCAAAGCACATTCTGTCCAGAGGCTGTTTGAGGAGTGGCTCCTAAAGACTAAAGAGATCAGAACCTCTAAGATGACTGGTGTTTCTTCTGAAAAGTTTAAGAGATGCAAACAAAGTTGCTTTAGCTCGGTGTGCTGCAGTACACATCAAGGAGAAGGGTACAAGCTCCTGAATAGCTAATGTAAGGCAGTGGCTATAAGTTATTTCTGTCCTAAATAAATGCCTTGTCCTGGCTTTTTTTACTCCCTACTGCATATTTCAGGGTTGTACATTATGTTAAGATATAAAGTGACATGATCAGAGGGAATTGAGCAATAGAATAGAATAGAATAGAACTTGGTCCGGCCAGAGAGGAAAATATGCATCTTCAGAGGGACAATGCAATTCTATTCTATTCTGTTCGATTCTATTCTATTCTACTGCTCAGCTCCGCTCCATCTACAATAGCAGCCTTATCCATGTGTCTGACCATTGTCCCGTATGTCTGTCTGTCCCACAGTGGCCATGTACAGGGAACCCTCCCTCCACGACCTGACAGAGTTCTCGCGCTCTGGCAGCGGCACACCAACCAAGTCCCGGAGTGCCTCGGCCGTGCTCAACGGAGGCAAGGCGGTGAGCCAGAATGAGTCCACGTAGCCGGGCGGCGGCGCGGTGGGCCGGGGCGGACGTAAGAAGACACCTCACCTTCAGAAGAGCGTGGCTTCCAAGCAGATTTCTCTCTCCAAAACCATCGGCGGTTCAGGACAACATTACGACTACTAAACACCACCATTACCACCAACCAATCACCACACTTGATTAGGTTCCATATCTCTCACCATACTGTCAACAGCCAACCAAATTACACCGTGAGCCATTTTCTGTTGGTCACTCTCTGGTGGTATGAACTGTGTACCAGTTAGCTCATCTTTTAAGGTTTTTTGTTTACTTCCTGCAGATAACAACTACTTTTACTTATAGGTCCTGATCATATAGACACCTACCCAGTAATATCTGGCAGGCAGGCAGGTAGAGAGGCAGGCAGGTAGGCGGTCAGGGCAGCTGATGAGGGTCTGGTTTCTGGTCTGCTGGGGCTGCAGTGGATGGAGAAGTGCCCTGTTTCCGTGTGTCATCCATGATGCTTCTATGTATACGAAGCCAATCCCCCGGGGGTGCAGCTCTAGCGAAGCTGTAACGGTAGCTCTCCTGCATTCTAGTGCACACGCTCAGAAGAGACTTGAGCTCTCTAGCATAAAAAAAAGCCTACATTCAGCTGACCTGGAAAAGAAGGGAAAAGCGTGTGGCACTCGCTGTTTGAGCGACAACGCCATAGCTGCACCTTTTTTGCTTTGCTAATTTTCGGAATTAGCGGAGAGCTTTTTTGTTATTTTTGTTGTTGTTCTCTCTCCTCCTCCCCCTCCTCAGTATTTGTGTTTTTGCAGCTGTCTCCACAGTGAAAGGGGTTCCAGCACACCAAAGACAGAGGTGAAAGAGTGTCCCTTTAAACAGTCAAACCAAGCCAGTATAGAGGTGCAGCTGGAAGTTGTTTAATTATTTTTCTTATTGTACATTTTTGATGAGAGAAAGAAAGAAAGTGAAGAAAGAGACTGCGTAAGACAGGGAAAGAGAAAAAAAGAGTTAGAAGGGGACTCAGTGGTGTAGAAAGTTGTAGAAAGCTAAAGGGAAGGAGACTATTATTACTGGTGAGCTATCTGGTTGAGTTTGGTATGAATTGACTGTTCAGTGGCCCCGCCTTCTGTTTCTATTGTGTCACATTGTCTTCTGTCCCTGTGGTCTGTTCTCCAATCCAGTGCTTGTGTCATGCCTTGCCCCATTCCCCTTTGGATATGGTGATGGCCCCCACCAAGGACTTGTTTCGTGTTTGAGTAACTTATCGTGTTGACAATTTTCTATATATATATAAAAAAAAACTACTGTGGAATTTTAGGTGGCTTAAACATTTTATAGGATATGTCATTATTTGTAAAAGTGAAGAATGAAGAAGAAAGAAACATCAAACTCTTCCCTTTCTTGCACAGGGCATGTACAAACACACGGTTGTGTACAAAAAGGACCCTTTTTGTGGGCTAAGTACCCCTTCCCTTCAGCTACATACCTTGTTCATATGGAACATGCTACTGGGAGGCTTGGTTTGTCTTTCGTTTCTTTTGGGGGTTTTGAAGTGAACATATCTATTGCATGGGAGACAGCAGGGGATTCTGGACTATAGAGCTATGGTGCATGATGTAGGCTATGTGTATTAACCCATGTTGGATCATGTGTTCCTAACTACCAAGACAAAACTGAAAAACAACCTGTACAGGCAGACGACTGTCGCTCGGCCTGCTACCTTCCAAGTTGTTTATTATTTGTTGTATACACAAAATGCACTGAATAAAATGTTTATATTAAGATATACTTTTAAAACGTGTCTTCTCCTTTCCTTTCTTTCTGGCATTTCTTCCATTTCGTGCTAACGTACTCCACACTCTTTTCTGCATTCTGCTCACAACAGATCCAATGCATACCGGTACAATGAAAAATAAGACAAAAACTCTGCAGTGTACATAATGATGCAGCCAGGCATTATAATGTGGTAGCTATGGCTGATATGTAGCTAGGCAGGGCTGGAGTACGGTACCCTAACCCTGCTGGCACTGAGGAGTTTATGAGCTGAGCAGAAGAAAGCCAGGCCTTATCCTCCTCCTATCTTCTTGGCCTCTGGACACAGATGAATCACCCAGAGACACACAAACAGCCAGGATTGGGCTTTAAATGCCTGCAGAGTCGAGGCTCCAGTACCTTCCTAATTGCATCCCTATTTGCCCTCAGAACAGCCTGCATTTGTTGGGGTGTCGAAAGCGTTCCACAGGGATGCTGGCCCATGTTGACTCCAATGCTTCCCACAGTTGTGTCAAGTTGGCTGGATGTCCTTTGGGTGGTGGACCATTCTTGACACACAAGGGAAACTGTTGAGCGTGAAAAACCTAGCAGCGTTGCCGTTCTTGACACATTCAAACTGGTGCGCCTGGCACCTACTACCATACCCCGTTCAAAGGCAATAAAATATTTTGGCTGGCACACATACACAATCCATGTGTCAATTTTCTCAAGGTTTAAAAATCCTTCTTTAACCTGTCTCCTCCCCTTCATCTACACTGATTGAAGTGAATTCAACAAGTGACATCAATAAGGGATCATAGCTTTCACCTGGATTCACCTGGTCAGTCTATGTCATGGAAAGAGCAGGTGTTCCTAATGTTTTGTACACTCAGAGTATACTGAATAGCCCTCACCACACCAGCCCACAGCCGAGGGCCCATTCTATGTAATGAATCAATATCTCCGCTGGAGCTCTAGGGCTGGTTCGTGTGACACTGGAGGGAGAGAGAGAGAGTGAGCGAGAGAGAGAAAGTAGCCATACTGACTAGCTGAATAAACTAAGTTAGAGTCTATTCCTAGAAAACATTGAACTGCTGTAGTTTACAACAATTATCATTTCTAAAGTGGAAGTTGGGAGAGTTATATTTGAGTGTTTCAGTGAAATGTAAGTGAGGGAGGCCCCGCTCTCTCGCTTTCCCAGATGTTTAGTTAATTTCATTCCGATCTCCTTTGCATTATTGTAGCCTTTTTCTGTAGCCTGTCAACTATGTGTCTGTCTATCCCTGTTCTCTCCTCTCTGCACAGGCCATACAAACGCTTCACACCACGTGGCTGCTGCCACTCTAATCTGGTGGTCCCTGCGCGCACAACCCATGTGGAGTTCCAGGTCTCCGGCAGCCTCTGGAACTGCCATTCTGCGGCCAACAAGGCAGAGTTCATCTCAGCCTATGCTACCCTCCAGTCCCTCGACTTCTTGGCGCTGACGGAAACATGGATTACCACAGAAAACACTGCTACTCCTACTGCTCTTTCCTCGTCTGACCATGTGTTCTCGCATCCCCCGAGAGCATCTGGTCAGCGCGGCGGTGGCACAGGAATCCTCATCTCTCCCAAGTGGACATTCTCTCTTTTTCCCCTGACCCATCTGTCTATCTCCTCATTTGAATTCCATGCTGTCACAGTCACTAGCCCATTCAAGCTTAACATCCTTGTCATTTATCAATGAGCTTGATGCCTTGATAAGTTCCTTTCCTGAGGATGGCTCACCCCTCACAGTTCTGGGTGACTTTAACCTCCCTACGTCTGCCTTTGACTCATTTCTCTCTGCCTCCTTCTTTCCACTCCTCTCCTCTTTTGACCTCACCCTCTCACCGTCCCCCCCTACTCACAAGGCAGGCAATACGCTTGACCTCATCTTTACTAAATGCTGTTCTTCTACTAACCTCACTGCAACTCCCCTCCAAGTCTCCGACCACTACTTTGTATCCTTTTCTCTCTCGCTCTCCTCCAACACTACTCACTCTGCCCCTACTCCGATGGTAATGTGCCGTCGCAACCTTCGCTCTCTCTCTCCCGCTACTCTCTCCTCTTCCATCCTATCATCTCTTCCCTCTGCTAAATCCTTCTCTCTCCGATCTCCTGATTCTGCCTCCTCAACCCTCCTCTCCTCCCTTTCTGCATCTTTTGACTCTCTATGTCCCCTATCCTCCTGGCCGGCTCGGTCCTCCCCTCCTGCTCCGTGGCTTGACGACTCATTGCGAGCTCACAGAAGAGGGCTGCGGGCAGCCGAGCGGAAATGGAGGAAAACTAGACTCCCTGCAGACCTGTCATCTTTTCACTCCCTCCTCTCTACATTCTCTTCCTCTGTTTACGCTGCTAAAGCCACTTTCTACCACTCTAAATTTCAAGCCTCTGCCTCTAACCCTAGGAAGCTCTTTGCCACCTTCTCCTCCCTGCTGAATCCCCCTCCTCCTCCCCCTCCCTCCTCCCTCTCTGTGGATGACCTTCTTTTCAAAATGGTTGACGACAACCGATCCTCATTTATTAAGTCAAATGACACCGCTGGTCCTGCTCACACTGCCCTACCCTATGCTTTGACTTCATTCTCCCCTCTCTCTCCATATGAAATCTTGCGAATTGTGACGGCCGGCCGCCCAACAACCTGCCTGCTTGACCCTATCCCCTCCTCTCTTCTCCAGACCATTTCCGGAGACCTTCTCCCTTACCTCACCTCGCTCATCAACTCATCCTTGACCGCTGGCCATGTCCCTTCCATCTTCAAGAGAGCGAGAGTTGCACCCCTCCTCAAAAAACCTACATTCGATCCCTCCGATGTCAACAACTACAGACCAGTATCCCTTCTTTCTTTTCTCTCCAAAACTCTTGAGCATGCCGTCTCTAGCCAACTCTCCTGCTATCTCTCTCAGAATGACCTTCTTGATCCAAACCAGTCAGGTTTCAAGACTGGTCATTCAACTGAGACTGCTCTTCTCTGTGTCACGGAGGCTCTCCGCACTGACTAACTCTCTCTCCTCTGCTCTTTTCCTTCTAGACCTATCTGCTGCCTTTGATACTGTGAACCATCAGATCCTCCTCTCCACCCTCTCCGAGTTGGGCATCTCCGGCGCTGCTCACTCTTGAATTGAGTCCTACCTGACAGGTCGCTCCTACCAGGTGGCGTGGCGAGAATCTGTCTCCGCACCACGTGCTCTCACCACTGGTGTCCCATAGGGCTCAGTTCTAGGCCCTCTCCTATTCTCTCTATACACCAAGTC